TAACCCTAGCTCTTTAATTTTCAGCCACAACCATTTATCTTCCCACTTACGGGCACGGCTCATGCAGCCCCAGTGGCCACCGGCGCTGCGCACCAAGTGCTGCCTGCCACGAAGCCCACAGAGCGGGTGGTATCCACGTGGGTGCCCGGGGCGAATTGCAGGTAGCCTCTCAGGTCGATCGCTTGCGAGTGACACACACGAGGTCAACGTCTGACTTTTCTTACCCTCTGACTTTTTTCTTCTCATTCTCTTTCCCGCTTGTTCCACAACGTCCCCTTCTGGAAAAATGCTATAAGCTCCAAAAGCTGAATTTGTGTTGGATCCCCAAGCGGACCTTTCTCATGGTCGTTCTACCCCCGATCGGTGAGCTTGCTATAAAATAGGGAGAACACATGTTGCAAACGTTGCAGTGCTGAGGCATGGGTATCAAGTCAAACAACTTATTTCGGCATGAACGAGTAAGAATCCAAAATAGTATATACCAGGAATGTTCGTATGTGGCCAAACTTTTTGAGGGTGTGAGCCAATATGATGTTTGACAGCTCTGCATCAGAAATCATTAGTGCCAACATGGATGCATGGCAGCAACAACGTATACATATTAAGCACGATCTCGAAAGCACTATGCACCCATCACGTGCTGTGGGAAAAGCTGCTCACGTGGGGATACGTATAGTCTTAAAAAGGGCCTATTGATACATAGCAGTTGGACCTGCAGGAATTCGTGCCCTGGAAGGCAGCTTGTTTCTGTTGCAACATATTTGTCTTCGAGGCCGTGTTTGCCAACTCCCTTCTTCCTTGGCTGCCATCAAAGCTCACACAACACCTTGCAAAAAGATGTTCAAGACCATTGGCTGGTGTGGGGTGGGCGAAGGGCGGGCCGTGGCTGAATCCATGTTCGAATGCGAGCTCAACGCCAAGGCGCTCACTCTTGGTTCCTTGTTTAGGCGGGGGACGGCGCTGCGTGGCTTCTGTCATGGAATCTGTGCCCGGCCGCCGGCCTGCATCGCCCACGGACCCTGGCTTCGAGTCAGGGTCCACGTTCGTGTAGCTAGGGCTTCGCCCATAGAAGTGGTAGGGATAAACATACTTGGCCTGGTCGTAAAGCCTCAGGACGTGTCGCGCGCAGAAAGACAGGCGAGCCACAGAAAGCTTGCCCAAACAAACGCGGAAGCCAGGCTGGTAACCTGGGCGCTGGCAGCCAGGGGCCTCGCATGCAGTCGCATCCCCTCGAGGAAAAAAAAAAACAAAACAAAAAACAAAACAAGCTCAGGTGATACCCCCAACAGCATGCGGTGCTCTTTTTAGTGCTTGTACCACCCCGCAGCCCTCGCAGAACCTTGTGGAACCCTCGTGGAACCCTGGTGAAACCCTTGTGGAACCTTGTTGGACCCTGGCCCAGGTTCCACCAGTGGTGGAACCTTGCCTCAGGGCCGCCCCGGACCACCCCGAGCCTATCTGGGCTGAGACCCCAAAGCTTTCAGCTGTTGGGGAAAAAGCATTTCCTGAGATTGCGACAATCCTGAGTAAGTGCCCATCTGTGACAACACATGCTTCCGTACCTGCTTGAAAGGAAGGACTAGTTGTGCACCTAATCCATGAACTTGGACCTTGGATACGGTTCGGCTGGCAGCACTTGGCCGAGAAGCCCCATGCACAAGCCCACCACGGTCACTGTTAGGCATGTGATCGCCAGCACCCTCCAGGGCGGCGCCCGGCTAAACCTCAGCACAAAGCCAAACACCCCGCCCACAGTGGGAGTCGCATGTGCCCAGCCTCCTGGAGTTTATTTGAATGTGTCGGTCTGAGTAGTCATAATTCAAGGACGACAGCAGTCTTGTCACTTTGCTGGCTCGGGTGTGCCAATTGACGACTCTGTAAACAACAAGCAGTCCGCTACGGCCTGCTGGCAAATCAATCATTCAAGGTAGAGAAACTGAGGCAGAACAACATTGCTGTTTCTTTGCAGGCCCAAAGCTATTTGCAAGCAGCAAGTCGCTTCCTCATCTGCCCTCAAATGAAAACAGAGCTGGAATATCATGCAAAGGAGTCCCTTCCATCACCAACAGAGCCGAGCAGCCCTACGGGCAGCCAAGATATCTAACTCGTCTGGAAAGAAGCCAGGCACGGGCATGAACAACAACAACCACTGGCCATCCCAAGGGCCCTCACAGGGTGGCCAACGTTGGCAATGCATGAATGCTCACTACCACAGCGTGGCGACTACCAAAGCTATCAACTGCCCTGCTTGCTCGCCGGGTAGCACAAGAAACCCCAGCGACAGCAGAAGGGCGCTGGCGACTGAGATGATGCAAAGAACGCTGCCTTGCCCCAGGGCCGTCGACAGCAGGACCATTCCTTGCATTGCTTACTGGATTCCAATGCATGGCATGCCTAAATACTCAAACCATGGTCAACTCAGAAAGGGTGCAAAGCAAATCCAAAAGGCAAATGCACGTTAGCAATGTGAACTGCAGAGATGGACCTGAGATTCCGTCATCGAAACAACCAAACCGCAGCCATCACCACCAGCCTTGAGTGACAGAATTGCGCCATACATCACTCAAAGATGCGTTCTCAAGCAGTCCCCAAAGCCCCACAAAGGTTCACTTTCAAGTCGTGCAGGAATAGAATACTGGCGCTGATGGCACGCTGGCAGCATATCCATGGTTGTTCATCGGCTGTTGGTGCTAAAGTTGCTGGAGCACATGTCACATGAAGGCCCAGCCATGCGCTGAGGCCATCCCATGTCAGGGGTGACGACTGGCATGCTCCGAGATTCAAACAAACCACCTTCACTTTGTCACAGGCCACCTTGAATACCATCGACATGAGCCTCGCTTGCTCCCGATGGTGTGTCCCCAAGACATATCAAGCCCAGCGTCCGAAGAGGAACCAGGGCGTCATCAAAGGTGGGATGTCCTTCCATGACCTGAGCTCCACTTCAGTTGGCCCGTTCTCCGTTTCGACCGTCTCGACGTTGCGATGAGGTCCCGATCGGGGCATCTCCTGGCCCACCCCATACCGCAGCAGCCTGGCTTCCTTGAAGGAACAGGCGCTGGACGTGCCTGGATGTATACTTACTTACCTTGAACATGTGGCAAGTAAACACCTGCGTGAAGCCTTCCACCGGCAGAGCACTGTACCAATGATCTGGCCTGCTTGTTTGCAAAGGCGACAATCGAATGGAAATCTGCTCGCCACCAAGTGTTTCAAACAAATTGAATGCAACATGCCCAGGCATGTGCAAACAAAGGCCAACCTGGCACGTGCCCTGGGCTTGATGTCGTAAGCTGGAAGCCACCCAGCCAGGAATAACGGGAAATTGGCTGCACGAGCAAATGCAGCAGGTGCAACGTACAAACAATGCCTTTGCCGGGGCGCGGTTTGCTCCTCTGCACCGCTTTTTGCTCCTCGGTGACTATGACATTGCCTGGCGCCAGAAATGTTGCTCCACCAAATGGCAATTCACATGCGTCCAATTTCCAACATGCTGTGAGGAGCAGCTGTTGCAATGTACCACCTAAGCTATTTTCAAATAAAGCTCAGGTGACATCCCCAACAGCATGCGGTGCTCTGTTTAGTGCTCGCACCACCCCGCAGCCACCTGAGAACCTCGTGGAACCTTTGTGGAGCCTGGTGGAACCCTGGTGGAACCCTGGCGGAACCCACCACCCCGGAGCCTATCTGGGCTGAGACCCCAAAGCTTTCAGCTGTTAGGGAATTAAAAAAAGGATGCAACTTGGAATCTCTCTGGAGGCTCCATTTAAAGGGTCGCCTTCGTTCTACAGGGGTTTCACCTTGTTGTAGGCTTCTTCTCTAAGGGTCGCCGTCCGTTTTGCAGGGTTTTAGCCACTACTCCTACCTAATCTTCCCCATATCTCAACATTGGAGTTACTCAGTGAGCCCGAAGCTTGATCCTTCAATGCATTGCAATGCAGCTTGCCTTGCTGCTCGGCCGGCTGGGCCGCCTCCACGGCCCCATAGTCAGGCTGGGGCCCTGGACAGGAAGCATCTCAGGTTGGATGGCAGAGGGGCCCTCTGGATTTTGCGGCCCTATGCGCCATGACCTACTTCCTCCATATGACCTGTGTGACGCAACTTTCAAAATGGTGCCGCGGCCCGAAGCTAGTTTAAGTGCGCACCTCAAGATCCCTAAGGCCCTGAGGGCGCAAAGGCCAGAAGACGCACTGCCTGGTACAGCATCTCCCCTACCTGAAGGGGGAGGGGGGTGGGGATTCCATTTTGAAGAGGGTGGGGATGGTACAGCGACCTGCCTATGTGAAACCAACGCAAGCCCCGGGGCCTGCCATCTGAAAGGCCCGCGGCAGGCAGCGGGATATGGATGTCCACTATCGGAAGCTGCCCAGCTTTCGGAGGTTGCCGAAAGGGGCTGAACTCAGCAGCTGCGGAGAACCTCTGCATGCTTTCACATGTCAAGGATTCACCTTGTAACAGTTGGCGGGACATTTCATATAGAAACACTAATAGTTTAGATGTATTCCAGAAAATGCTGTTTCCTCGGCTCTTTCAATGGCCAGCGGTTTTCTGCTTTTACACCAAGGTGTCAGCATAGCCCAGTTAGTGGTTTGGGCTGGTGGCTTGGAGGCTGATACGAAGCAGAAACCCGACCTCGCCCGAGCCACACGGAACAGCAGATAGAGCGGCACGAAAGCAATATCGACTATATGTGTACAGAACTCAGCTAACAACTATCAGGATAACAAATGAAGTGCCAAGGAAGGTAGTAAGGTGTATCCGATTTGCCCCCCTACCCTGCGCAATAGGCGAACCTTCTCTCCTGAGAGCTTGACGACGCAGAACAAACGAAACGCACACGGTGCCCTTGGGAACCAGCCTGTCACACAGGCCGTTTAGGATTCTGCTATGCGCAGAGCGGCTGCATTTCCAAAGATAAAGTTTTGGTGCTGCCACGGCATGCGTGGGGGCTTCTTCTCTGAGGCTCACAGGTAGACAAGCCTGCGTTGCTCGCATCGGGCCTTTGCTGCAGCCCAGGGCGGGCGCGCTCCCAAAGGCACCGTTGGAGACGGCGCCTAAAGGCCAACTCAAGGTCTGGCTGACACTGGGCGAAGGCAACCAAAAAGTAATCCAAACATGTACGCCCCTTGCTTTCCTTGTTTGCTGAAGCAGCCCTTCCAGGGATTGGCGAAGGTACCGGCAAATCTGTCAGTCGCGGTGAGGGATTTTTGGCAGGGATGTCAATGCACGGCAACTCTGGGCGCTCAACACCTCTGCGCAGTGCTGAGCGCTCAGCATGCGTGTGTGATGCGGCCTTGGTCGTTTAGGGCCCAACTTAAGCCAGCAGCCGTCAGCCAATGCC